ATCGAGAGAATACTTCCTGGTTACCGGCAAACAGCCCGAACCACTCCCTCCTCAGCCCACACCCAATGGGGGGGTCATTGAGTACGTTCAGCCTTACTTCCGAGGTAAACAAGAAGTCGTGACTCATACCGAGACTACAGACGAGTCAATCGTTATCAGTTTTCAGCAGATACGAGAATAGCTAGAACGCTACACGCGCATGGGTTCCGGTGGGTCCTGGATAAAATCGATAATGTCTATCTAGACATAGCTAACTAAGCGTCTTTGGAGCACGCGCCATTCAGAATTAGCGGTCGCATCTAGACTTACCCCTACTACAGCTGATTTATTAGAATCCACGGAGAGATTGTCAAGGTGTGGGGCAGACGGCCATACGAGTTGACATGCCCAAGGAAGGCGACAATATACTAAAACTCGATAACCACAAGAACCAGATGTCCGTGCCTTATGTCATCTATGCCGACTTGAAGCTTTGGTCGAACCCGTTGAGGCTGCTGGGGTACCCCAGGCATATAAAACACAGGAGCACGAGGCCTGTGGGTTTGGATACGTGGTCGTCCGTTGGTGATGGGGAAACGAAAGCTCCCATAGTGTACAGGGGTCCTGACGCGGCTGAAAAGTTTCTAAAGTGTTTGCAGGAGGAAGAGAAAAGTATTAGGAATGCGCTGCATACAGTCGCTCCCATGCGTATGGCTCAAGCCGACCGGCTAGCTCACGGCTGCAGCACTCACTGCCACGTGTGCGATAAACCGCTGAACGGCGATTCTGTGAGAATCGCGAAAGTCAACGGCAACCTGACGTGCATCCCCAACAACATGGAGAGATACATCTCCTTCAGCTTGAATGGCCTGAGGTTCATCGATTCGGTTCAGTTCCTCCTGTCGTCACTCGACAGTCTGGTCAAGGCCAACGATACCTTCCCCATCACCGATCGATACACCGACGCCGAGACTCGACCCCTGCTGATGAGGAAGGGTGTGTACCCCTACGAGTACATGGATGGCTGGGCCAAGTTCGCCGAGACCCGACTACCCCCATCAACCGATTTTACAGCAACCTGACCGACTTGGCAATCACCCAAGACGATTACTCGCACAAGATTAACGTATGGAATAAACTGGGCTGTAGGAATCTGGGTGACTACCACGACCTGTACTTGAGGACAGACGTACTCCTGCTAGCCGACGTGTTTGAGAGGTTTAGGAGGACGTGTTTTAAGCAGTACCAACTCGACCCCGCATGGTACTACACCAGCCCAGGTCTGTCGTAGGATGCATTGCTGGGGATCATCCGATATCGATGTTATGAGCATCGCGTCGGATTCGAACAAAGGCTATATCCTCAAGGTGGACTTGGAATACCCCAAGGCATTACACACATCACACAACAGCTACCCCCTGGCCCCCGAACGTATGAAGGTTAACCCGGACTGGATGTCTGAGTACCAACATAACTTGCTAGGTGGGCGGGTGGCAGACGTTGAAAAACTAGTGCCCAACTTAATGAATAAGACCAAGTACATCATGCACTATCGCAAACTACAGCTGTACCTGTTGTTGGGTATGAGGCTGACCAAAATACACAGGGTGCTCGTGTTCGACCAGAGCCCCTGGATGGAGCCCTACACCAGAATGAACACGGACCTGCGAAAGCTGGCCACCAGTGACTTTGAGAAAAACCTCTACAATCTCATGAACAACTCGGTGTTCGGTAAGACTATGGAGAACCTGAGGAAACGCGTGACCGTGAAGCTGGTTCGGTCGAAAGAGGAAGACAAGCTCAGGAGACTGAGACCGGCCTGTTTACGTGGGGATGAGCATCCTCGATTTATCCAAACACCTGATGTACGACTTTTACTACAACGAACTGAAGAAACAGTACGGCGACAGGTGCGAAGTGCTGTACACGGACACGGATTCCCTGCTGATGGAGATTCGAACCGAGGACGTTTACGAGGACATGAAGAAACGCCTCGATTTGTACGACACCAGCGACTACCCCAAGGACCATGCCATACACAGCACGGTAAATAAAAAGGTCCTCGGTAAGATGAAGGACGAGTGTGCTGGCACGCCCATAGCCGAGTACATAGGTTTGAGGCCTAAGATGTACTCCATCCTGAAGGCCGACAATGGTGAGATCGAAGGCGAAGGGTGTTAAGAAGTACGTGGTGAAACAACACATCAAACCGCCAGATTCAAGGAAGCCCTGTTCAAGACCCGTACCTTCAGGCATAAAATGAACACGCTTAGAAGCGACGGGCATAGGATATAAGGACTGATGATAAACAAGGCGTCCTGTAAGCGCCAATGGACACTAAGCGTTGGATAGCCATCGACGGGATCAACACGTACGCCTACGGGCATGAGAAAATTGAACCAAGAACATAAGTGTATATATAAATACGATACCCTGTCGAGGCGACATGTCACGGAACCAGAGAAGTTTGAGGCTATTTACTACAGCCAGCCTGGGTACTGGAAAGGAGCTAGCGCCGTACATAAGCTGGCTAAAATGGCGAAAATTACCCCGAGCGAGGTCAAAGCGTGGCTTGAAAAACAAGCCCTGTGGCAGATCTATTTACCGGCACCACGCTCGTGCCTAGAAGGAAGTTCGGTGATTAACATACCCAATAGCGTTCACCAGGCCGACCTCCTGTTCCTACCCGACGACAAGAGGTACAAGTATGCCTAACCGTGGTGGGCGTGGGCCAGTCGCTACAAGGAAGCCCGAACCCTTGACCGCTGAAAGACTTCGCCCAGGTAGCCCGCGGATTGAGCGCGTATGTACAAACGCCCAGTCCGCTGAAGAGGCCCACAGAGCTGCAAGTCGACCCGGGCAGGAGTTCATGGGTGCCGTGTCACAACTGCTAGACAAACACGATACCAAGGTCAGGCGTGGCGCGGGCCGAGCCCATCGCAGCCAAGCCATAGTCGAGATTCAATAGGACTTTGGCCGGCTTATTCGGGCATCAGTATCGCGCAGAGAGATGGCCAACCGAGGAAACGATCGACTGAATGGGTAGCGCAGCTACCTCAGGTGGTGTCGACCATCAACCACGAAACCACTCGGCTCACCGGCAAGAAATCAGCCGCGGCTTTCAAACTAAAATCAATAGTGGCTGAGTCGGTTGCACCATTGCGTGGGAAGAAGAAACAGATACCAGATAGGGCCCTCGTGAGGTACCTCTACCAGCCGGGGGAACACGAAGGGGATAGTCATAAGCGAGCCACCGATCTGATATGGTCAGTCAAAACTTACAATATAGATAAAGTGGACATCAAAGCCGACGAGCCGAACTTGTACTACTGGAGAGATGGGCCAGGGAGAGGTTTCGTTAGAGAGGAATTATTGATCATACCGTACGGTACAATGTTACCCCCCAAGCAAAATATTTAACACTTACCTTGTCGGGTAATCTCAATGGCATCCTGCCAACACGACATAGAGCTATCACATGATCAGGAAAGTGCTAGTTCACGGTCATAGTGGCACAGTAGTGCCACGTGCGACACTATTGCGCCACGTGGGGCCAGGAAGTTAACTGGGGGTTCAAAAGTAGTATATATGATGGGGCGAGATCTAAGGGCCTGACAAAAGCTTTATTTGTGAAATAAAGCTTTACAGAGGCTTTTGTTGGACTTGATCTCGGACTGTCATTATATCTACTACTATCCAAGCATCCAGTAAAAGTGCCAATGAGATTAGTGCCAGTTGAAATAGGATTAACAGGATTAAGTACTCCCCGTCTGGTCATTGAAGTTGTTTTTTGTAGGACACACCCAATTTTTTATATTCTGTATTTCATTGGTTAATGTAGGACACACCCCATTTTTGTATATTCTCTATTTCATTGGTTATTGTAGGTTACACCTATTTTTGTATCAGTCAACGAATCATAATCTCTTCCTTGTTTCAATTTTAGATAAATAGTCAAACTCCATTTGTTCATCAGTAGGGTTTAGACTCCCAACACAGGTCAGCTCTATCCCTCAGCCCAGAGGGTTGTACTGACTCTCTGTGGCCACTCCATGTTATTCCATTCTTGTAAATAAATTGTGATTACCTTCTTGCGACTTTGGACTCTTTGCTGAGTTAATTCCCATCAGCAGACCAGCCGCCAGTTAGAAAAGGGGTTTCACCAGAACCATCACTCAGACCCAAGACCACTATTTTCCTAATATCTGAATCCTAATATATATGGCTTGTAGTGGTTATAATTAATAATGAATTTTGTATGAATAATTATTCCATGATAGAACACCCACTTTTGTCAGCTGTTGATGGATGGGATACTGTTCCAATGGAAATTTCTTCGATGTGAGATGGACAACACTTGTTGATTGTTTTCACAAACCTTTTTGGTGTAGGCATGTAGGTGTAAAATCTGATTATTTAGGCAATTTCATAAATGCCTAGATATTACAGTCATTTTAGCAATTTACTGAAAAAACAGATCAACTAAAATATTTTTATGAAGTTCCAAAATGCAAAAAACACAGAAGAATAGATTAATTATGCTAGGATTTTAGCTAAAAATATATAGACGTACATTAACCTCTGTCCTAACACTGAGAGATGACATTAAACTTCAAAATGTTTTGAATTGTTTAAACAATATACTAGTCAGACATATTTTGCCGCCAGTTTATAAAATTGAAATTTTAGGTGTCAAAAAGATTACCCTATTTCCCAAAACCAAAACCAAAATGTAACTATGTTTCATCTTATACTTTCAATCACACTTAGGGTGGCATAGCAGATGTTGCAAACCAGTCAAGAAATATGGAATGTCATCCAGGTACCCTCAGAAAAAACACAATAACAAAACCAACAACAATATATGCTTTGATGTATCCAAATATCTTTCATCTTAGTGATCAGACAAAATGGATGATTCTGAGAGTATACCTGACCTGAATCATATTGATGCAGTGACAAGTGCTGACAGGTTACGGGGTAATTAGGCTCATGGCTCTCGGAACTGCTGTGTTACATACCTGGTGGTGCAGTTGGACATAGAGGCTTGTCCTGATCAGACACAATTAGTGGTGAAACCATTTTGGAACTGTCTGTTGTATCAGTCTTCTCAGGACAACCTGCAACATTCAAAACTAAGGTTAACTCTCAATGTCTACTCCACACTGTATAAAATCATTATTTTTCGCCCAAAGCATGAGGCGTGTAAAGATATATCGCACTATCAATGTATAAAAATGTTGTTTGCGTAATGTCAATAGAACATTAGCACTCATATAATAATCACAAGTTTCAATAGTCACAATTGGTTGTAAATATAGCTAATATTACCCAGGAGAAAACTTACATTTTAAAGCAGAATTTCATCTGAAAAGATTATGATAACTTCAGATTAGAGTTACCAAATAATTGTTTTCATAATCAATAAATAGTACCTCTATTACATCACTGCCATATATTCTCTATTATAGAAATCATTGTATCCATGAAAGAAGTCATCTTCACAATGCAAACACACAAAAACTCTTGCCTTCCAAAGCAACTGCAGATGTGCAAGTGAAAGTCACTTCTTTCAACCATCAACTATCAGCCATCCTACAAATGCCCTACCGTCATGATATCAACCCCTTCTGACAAGCTATACCCTGTCAACAGTCTAATGGAATAAAGAATGATTAATCTTAATCCAAAATATGGTTAAACTCTGGTAGTGATGACTTTATTCCTCTGAAAGTGAACTTATTCCTCTGATAGTAATGAATTATTCTTCTGATAATAATGACTTTATTCCTCTGATAGCAATGACTTTATTCTTCTGAGAGTGATGACTTTATTCTTCTGATAGCAATGACTTTATTCCTCTGAGTGTGATGACTTTATTCTTCTGATAATGACTTTATTCCTCTGATAGTGAACTTTATTCCTCTCATAGCAATGACTTTATTTCTCTGAGAGAGATAACTTTATTCTTCTAATAATGACAAATTTATTTCTGATAGTAATGACTTTATTCCTCTGATAGTAATGCCATTATTCCACTGAAAGTAATGAATGTATTCCACAGATAGTAATGACTTTATTCTTCTGAGAGTGATGACTTTATTCCTCTGATAGCAATGACTTTATTCTTCTGAGAGTGATGACTTTATTCTTCTGATAGCAATGACTTTATTCCTCTGAGAGTGATGACTTTATTCTTCTGATGACTTTATTCCTCTGAAAGTGAACTTATTCCTCTGATAGTAATGAATTATTCTTCTGATAATAATGACTTTATTCCTCTGATAGCAATGACTTTATTCTTCTGAGAGTGATGACTTTATTCTTCTGATAGCAATGACTTTATTCCTCTGAGAGTGATGACTTTATTCTTCTGATGACTTTATTCCTCTGAAAGTGAACTTATTCCTCTGATAGTAATGAATTATTCTTCTGATAATGACTTTATTCCTCTGATAGCAATGACTTTATTCCTCTGAGGTGATGACTTTATTCTTCTGATGACTTTATTCTCTGAAAGTGAACTTATTCCTCTGATAGTAATGAATAATTCTTCTGATAATAATGACTTTATTCCTCTGATAGCAATGACTTTATTCTTCTGAGAGTGATGACTTTATTCTTCTGATAGCAATGACTTTATTCCTCTGACAGTGATGACTTTATTCTTCTGATGACTTTATTCCTCTGAAAGTGAACTTATTCCTCTGATAGTAATGAATTATTCTTCTGATAATAATGACTTTATTCCTCTGATAGCAATGACTTTATTCCTCTGAGAGTGATGACTTTATTCTTCTGATGACTTTATTCCTCTGAAAGTGAACTTATTCCTCTGATAGTAATGAATTATTCTTCTGATAATAATGACTTTATTCCTCTGATAGCAATGACTTTATTCTTCTGAGAGTGATGACTTTATTCTTCTGATAGCAATGACTTTATTCCTCTGAGAGTGATGACTTTATTCTTCTGATAATGACTTTATTCCTCTGATAGTGAACTTTATTCCTCTCATAGCAATGACTTTATTTCTCTGAGAGAGATAACTCTATTCTTCTAATAATGACGACTTTATTTCTGATAGTAATGACTTTATTCCTCTGATAGTAATGCCATTATTCCACTGAAAGTAATGACTGTATTCCACGGATAGTAATGCCATTATTCCCCCTGATAGCAATGACATTATACCTCTGATAGTGATCACTTTATTCCACTGATAGTAATGACTTTATTCCACTGATAGTAAGGACATTATTCCACTGATAGTAATGACATTATTCCCCTGATAGCAATGACTTTATTCCTCTGATAGCGACCGCTTTATTCCACTGATAGTAATGGCATTATTCCACTGATAGTAATGACTTTATTCCACTGATAGTAATGACTTTATTCCACTGAAAGTGATGACTGTATTCCACTGATAGTAATGACATTATACCTCTGATAGTGATCACTTTATTCCACTGATAGTAATGACTTTATTCCAATGATAGTAATGACATTATTCCACTGATAGTAATGACATTATTCCCCTGATAGCAATGACTTTATTCCTCTGATAGTGATCGCTTTATTCCACTGATAGTAATGGCATTATTCCACTGATAGTAATGACTTTATTCCACTGATAGTAATGACTTTATTCCACTGAAAGTGGTGACTGTATTCCACTGATAGTAATGACATTATTCCTCTGATAGTGGTGGCTGTATTCCCCTGATAGTAATGACTTTATTCCACTGATAGTAATGACATTATTCCACTGATAGTAATGACATTATTCCCCTGATAGTAATGACATTATTCCTCTGATAGCGATCGCTTTATTCCACTGATAGTAATGGCATTATTCCACTGATAGTAATGGCTTTATTCCACTGATAGTAATGGCTTTATTCCACTGATAGTAATGACTTTATTCCACTGATAGTAATGACATTATTCCTCTGATAGCGATCGCTTTATTCCACTGATAGCGATCGCTTTATTCCACTGATAGTAATGGCATTATTCCACTGATAGTAATGACTTTATTCCACTGATAGTAATGACTGTATTTCACTGATAGTAATGACTTTATTCCTCTGATAGTGATGGCTTTATTCCACTGATAGTAATGACATTATTCCACTGACAGTGATGATACATTCCTCTGATAGTGTTGATTTTATTTCTCTGATAGTGTTGACTTTGCAAGCATAAAAACTGTCCTACCCTTGTAAACAAATATTTGATGATGGTCATAATCTTTTACAGCTCATGTCCCATAGATGAAGACTGGTCTTTGGTCACTAACTCTTGAAGGGTGTGAATAGTAATCAAGCTTCTGCCTACATGAGACAAGCTGCAACACTCTAGCTGCTGTGGCATCAGCTTTTGTTGTTTTGAACCAGTGTAGCTGATGCCACAGGTTAAAAGGATCTCAAAAGAGCCAATGAAGCGGTAAAAGCGTTCCACTTAGGAATGTATGTGGATTTCTATCATCCTCAAACAAGACAGATCTCATGAATCTGTTGAGAACAGATGATTTTTCATGTCATGTTGAAGAACTGATGTTAGGGTGGAGCAGTAGTCGTCAGCATTACCACTTGGTACCCCAGCAATAACGGAGAAAAACATCTACCACCATGGGAATCATTACAACCAAGCCCATATCCATTTCTTGTCTTGTGCATCACTCTTTGACTGACTGACTGAGTTTGGTTTCACAGCCGCTTTTAGCAATATTCCAGCAACATCAATGCAAGGGGACACCAGAAATGGGCTTCACACATTGTACCCATGTGGGGATTCAACCGGCATCACTCTTTGAAGGGCATTTAGAAGTGGAATACATAGGAAAAGCAAGATTTTAATGGATGTCAACTTCTTTATTGTGAATAACCACGACGTTTCAGAGTGTGTGTGCTATATGGATGTCAAAAGTTGACATCCATAAAAATCTTGCTTTCCCTTGTTGCATCACTGACAGAGCGTCTTCTGTGTCTTGGTCAGATTGAGAACAGCCCGAGACAGTCCACGCTAAACTGTACAATGTGAAGGTCACAGTGTGACAAGTAGGAGTGCAGAACACCATCTTGTCTACAAAGTACAAAGAAATTTAACTCACTTCAGCTTCATGAAGATGCTAAAGTTTGAGACATCATTGCTGTATAACAACCACTGAGGAAAGGCAGTATACTATTTGTTATGAAACTATTTATGGATAACTGACAGTGAAGAGGACCTCTGCTGAAAATCTGATGATTTTAGTGTGATGTTACAGGATTTGTGGCAATGACAGAACAGAATTATCCTATTCCACTTGCACAAACCAATCTTAGCTCAATGTAAAATGGCTTGGATTTAAGATTGCGATCTTAGATGAAATCAACAATTGGGGTAAGAATAACTGACACTAAAGTCCTGTCTTCAATTTTCTGCAAACCCACAAAAGTTGCTACTGATATCATTAGTGGGACATAACGGAACAGCGCATACAAACAACATGTACTTTCCTCCATCGCCTCAAGCACAAGGGTTTTCTTTTAAATGATCAAATTAATTACAGGAACAATTGCTAGAAGATGGTATATGATTACTTCCTGCATTAATATTGTCATGATACAGGAACTGACAGTTTAATATTGCAACAAGAGAATATTTTCATTAAAATATCATAATACAAATAAACACTTACATTCACTTGTGTTTTAATTACTTAACAATATTTACATTGATAATTATATATAAAAGGCATGAAACTTCATTTAACTATTTCTAACATAGCTTACATATCTTCGAAGGACAGGTTTGATGAATAATTGTATTTTAACATAATTCTATTATGAAACTGACCATTTTACTCGATTTTAGATTATCGAATGATAAGATCCCCTGTGATATGCATTTTTCACTTGTATTTAATTATAGAATATTTCAATTATAAACTACAGACAAAAGTATTGACACAAATGTGACCCAAACAGAATATAGGTAGTTAGCAATGACTCTGTTCAACATCAGCAGTCATCATACATTGGGCTAAGTTCTCCATGCTAACATGCAAAGGGAAACCACTCCCACTTGGCCATGAACTTAGATTATAGCTGCCTTTGACGTATCATAAATGTTACAACCATTATCAATAAACAGCAGACACACTCCTTTTGGTTAGCGAAAAGGTGTGTTGTTCCTTACAAAAACAGGTAGGAATGGTACTTTTAGCTATGATCTCAACAAGTATGACATTCTCTGACCTATTCTCTGTTTTTTTCACATGTACATTTAGATCACACAGTTCAAAAATTGAAATGGCAATGGCTGAAGTAAATCAGATTATATTATTGACACACATCCAATGATGCACACCAGTTTCTCCAACTGATTCAGTGGTACCAAGACCTTACCCCCCTGGCCCTTCTAGAGGGGTGAAAGTTCAAAGCGGTGCAGGTTGTACATGTTTACCAGTTTGCTGAAACTCACAAAGCGGTGCAGGTTGTACATGTTTACCAGTTTGCTGAAACTCACAAAGCGGTGCAGGTTGTACATGTTTACCAGTTTGCTGAAACTCACAAAGCGGTGCAGGTTGTACATGTTTACCAGTTTGCTGAAACTCACAAAGCGGTGCAGGTTGTACATGTTTACCAGTTTGCTGAAACTCACAGACATGGGTATGCTGCTGACAAACATGGAAACATAATTGGGTCAAAACAGGATTCAAACCCACTGGCAAGGCGAATTACAGTGCCTTTTACTACTGGGCCACACATAACACTGACACACATTTCTAATGTGTCATTAACGTAAGTTCATGAACATTTCATAAATCAACTGCATCTATTCAATTCAAAATACTTACATGGAAAACGTCTGTCTGATGAGCTCCATTTCTCTTTTATTTGTTCCTTTCTCCTCCATAAGCAATAACAGATAATAGCTGAAATGTGAACATTGTCTATATTTTACTGTTATGGTGGTTGCCATACATGAAGGTAGCACACAGTTCAATACATACTTTGTCTTAAGAACACTCTGACCCTTATCTTGTAAGTGATGTAGGTTTTAAAACAATAAATAACTGGCAATAATGGTCACAATATGAAGTGAACATAAAGACTGAATTAAATGAAACTACAGAAAAGTGTTACTTTAGAGAAAAATACACTAATTAAACTCATACACAGCTGTTTCACCAATCCTTTATACTAGATCATAATTAAGATGTTACTTACCAAGTACTATGATAACAGTAACAGAGCCAAGGACTGCCCCTACGACGGCACCAGTATTAGAGGAATCACCTGGTGTGAGAAAAATCTACATTACTTCATCAGATCCACACAATTGGCTGACACACAAATAACCATCACCACACAAGTACCAATCACACCTTCATCTTTAAACAATACTCCCACGCATAGGATGGAAACAAAAATCAGATTAAATGTCAGGAAGTTGTTTAATAAACAATAGTCACTTGACATGTTTAGCTTCAGTTTTAGAAATAGAAATTGAAGTTAAAACTGTTAAACTGTATGTAAGCTCTAATGACAGTATGATATGTGTATGCGAGGCTCTCTTCTACCCAAGAATCCCAGAGGTCCTCTACCTGCTGGTAGAGATGTTGTGGTTGGTTCCCTGCAATAAAGAGGCGACCCATATGTCAGTCTTTACATGTGGTGAGCAGTGGGCTGCTGCCTCAAACAACTTCAGACATAACATATACTATGATTGTAAAACTGACATGACAACAACAGGAATGGGCAAGTGGTTCATGCACCAACAATGTCTACAGATCTTCACAAGTGTACAGTACATTAGCCTGTGCATTTAAAAGAACCCATTCATGAAATGGCAATGACCAACTGGTATAAACACATACATACACCCAAACCATGAGTGTCCAAATGAGTGGTGACACCCTACACGAAAGTGACTGTTCACCCAGCAGGAAAAGAGTACCCAATATGTAATGTGGATAGTAAAGCTTCCTAGCACCGATGTTCAGCTTGGATGGTATACCCACCAGGGAGGTTAAATGACAACTGGAATGAACACAGACTCACTAGTCAAACACATACTAGTTTCAGGATAAGTGCAGTGTATAAATGTATAATGATAACAGGTTGATAACACTGACTAGGTTCACCAGGATAAGTGCAGTGTATAAATGTATAATGATAACAGGTTGATAACACTGACTAGGTTCACCAGGATAAGTGCAGTGTATAAATGTATAATGATAACAGGTTGATAACACTGACTAGGTTCACCAGGATAAGTGCAGCATATAAATGTATAATGATAACAGGTTGATAACACTGACTAGGTTCACCAGGATAAGTGCAGCGTATAAATGTATAATGATAACAGGTTGATAACACTGACTTGGTTCACCAGGATAAGTGCAGTGTATAAATGTATAATGATAACAGGTTGATAACACTGACTAGGTTCACCAGGATAAGTGCAGCCGATATAAATGTATGATAATAACAGGTTGATAACACTGACTAGGTTCACCAGGATAAGTGCAGTGTATAAATGTATAATGATAACAGGTTGATAACACTGACTAGGGTTCACAGGATAAGTGCAGTGTATAAATGTATAATGATAACAGGTTGATAACACTGACTAGGTTCACCAGGATAAGTGCAGTGTATAAATGTATAATGATAACAGGTTGATAACACTGACTAGGTTCACCAGGATAAGTGCAGTGTATAAATGTATAATGATAACAGGTTGATAACACTGACTAGGTTCACCAGGATAAGTGCAGTGTATAAATGTATAATGATAACAGGTTGATAACACTGACTAGGTTCACCAGGATAAGTGCAGTGTATAAATGTATAATGATAACAGGTTGACAACACTGACTAGGTTCACCAGGATAAGTGCAGTGTATAAAATGTATAATGATAACAGGTTGACAACACTGACTAGGTTCACCAGATAAGTGCAGTGTATAAATGTATAATGATAACAGGTTGATAACACTGACTAGGTTCACCAGGATAAGTGCAGTGTATAAATGTATAATGATAACAGGTTGATAACACTGACTAGGTTCACCAGGATAAGTGCAGTGTATGAATGTATAATGATAACAGGTTGATAACACTGACTAGGTTCACCAGGATAAGTGCAGTGTATGAATGTATAATGATAACAGGTTGATAACACATACTAGTTTCAGGATAAGTGCAGTGTATAAATGTATAATGATAACAGGTTGATAACACTGACTTGGTTCACCAGGATAAGTGCAGTGTATAAATGTATAATGATAACAGGTTGATAACACTGACTAGGTTCACCAGGATAAGTGCAGTGTATAAATGTATAATGATAACAGGTTGATAACACTGACCAGGTTCACGCTGGTATATATTTTGGCTACATGCTTATAGATTGGGGTTAGAAAAACAGTTTACAAATCAACCTCACTTTTCCAGAGAAACCTCCTGAAGGCAGGGTTCAAGACCAATATAATGACATGATTTACCAGCAGTGTGGTCAATCCAGTTATTAGATTAGTTTCCTGTGTTAGGGACTAGACCAGCACATGGAGCTGTCTTTACCTTGTTGGGGCTGTGGCTGTAGCAGCAACTGGCACACAACTGTAATCTGGAACACACAATAATCAGCAATGGTCAAGGGGAAAGCTGCAATAGTTATTCAACGTGGGTTAACTGACACTGCAGCTCATCTTGGCCAACCAACACAGAATGCTCCAAGTGCCAAGACTACTTACTGCAACTCCTATACCAGACTTAACAAACAGTGGCAGCAGAAAGCT